ATCAGACCCAAGGCCTTGCGCATGTCAGGCAAGTGCTCTACCCCTGAGTTACATCCCCAGTGCCACCCTCTAGCAGTTTGGCTTTCTCTAGTAGTTTCTGTGGGTTCTATTTAGCAAACCAAAAGGCAAAAAATCTAGAAACAAGACCATTGAAATGAGACATTGGTCCTTTAGAACAGTGATTTCCCTTGCTGCCTGCTGCTGCAACGAGCACGCCGGTGCGCTGTGGGAAAGGGGCTGAGCCACAGCTTCTGTGGTTTGTGTGCTGAGAGCCTGGGGGGTCCCTGCTACACCACTAGCTCCTGTGGCTTGAAAGGAGGGGCAGCTGGCGGAGTCTCCCTGGAAGCCTTTTCCCTTTCTGGCCATCTTTTGCAGGAAGACAGCCCCGCACGGGGATGCTCGCAAGAGTGGCTGAAGGAAAGAGTTCGGGGTCTGCAGGGGCTTTTAACGCACCCCGAGGACCCCCGTGAAAGGCAGGACATCGTGCCTAAGGGAAAGCGGCTCTCAGCAGGGGTGGGGTGGGTGAGGGTGTCCACGCGCTTGCACTTACGTAGTATGTGTCTAACACTGTCTTAATATTTTGACTTGTATTTATTTTATTTCATTTTTGGGTACCGGGGATTAAACTTGGGACCAAACTCAGGACCTTGCGCTTGCAAGGCAGGTGGCAGAACCACTGAACTGAATCCCCGGCCCTATTTTGACTTTTAAAAATTTATGCTAGGGCTGGGGATTTAGCTTAGTGGTTCTGATGCCTTCCTTGCAAGTGCAAGGGCCCAAGTTCAATCCCCAGTACCAAAAAAAAAAAAAAAAAAAAAAAAAAAAGGCTTTACAGAGTATCAAGGGATGGAAAATTAACAAAATTATTTTAGATTTTTCTTCTCTGTTACCAGTCCCCCCCGCTTTTTTTTGTCTCCTGTTGTCCTTGTCGTTTGAATAGGGTTTTCCTCTGCTTAATTTGTGTCCCTGTCACCCTTAACTGACACTTCAGAATACACAATTTGAAATAAGGGCATCCCGGGAACTGCCCCCACCCCAGGAGGGGTGACCCCTCCTGGAGGTCAGCTGTGGGATGGATCAGACTATGGGCAGCGACCGCCCAGAAAGGCCTAGGAGCTCGAGTTCCTAGTTGGCTGTAGTCCTTGTGCTTTCCCATCCGAGGTAGAAAGCTGTTCCCTGACGTCAGTGTTCAGTGGTGGGAGGTCTTCTCCCCGTCAGCAGGAGCACTTTCCGTTCACGCCCACAGTTCAGGGGGGCCTCCTTCCTGCCTCCCCAGGGCCTGGAGAGTTGGGTGTGAGGGAACCAGGCCGTGCCAGAGGGGATGGTCGGGGCTCACCTGGACTCCTGCTCCCTCGAGACAGCAGTGCAGGGAGGCCGTGACCCGCACCTCCCTTGTCCGGAGGTGAAGATCCGCGCTGGCTGGCCCGCTGGGGTGCAGTTGCTGCCGGAGGCTGGTAGGGCAGTGGCCACAGCCACCAGCTCAGCTCGCCCGGTGGGAGCAGACTGAGCCGGGAGATGTGTTCTGACTTCTCCTTTCTCCCTTCTATCAGGCGGCAGGCGTGGGAGCAGGGCGGCCAGGGAGGTTGCAGCCTCCTCATTTCTCCTTGTGTTCCTTTCCAAAGCCAAGAGGCTGTCATGAAGACTGCTGTGGTGTCGGAGAGGCTCCCAGCACGGGAGCTCGAGGTGGGCTGGAGGAGGCTGTCCGGGCGACCCGGCCCTGTGGACGTCATCTGAGAGGCCACGTGGGACAGAGCCTGCCGCAGGAGGCGCAGCATCGTGTGTTTTCCTTGGTGGCCCACTGTCCTCACTGTTGGAGCCCCCGCAGGTCTCGGCACCTGCTGCTTCAGGGTACTTACCAGACTGCTTCACTGCACACTGAATGAGCTGTTGAGTTGTTTGTTTTTTCATTTGTCGTTACTGTTTTTGATACCTCAGAAACGCCGCTGTTGACCTTTGTTTTGGACACTAGGGTGTGACTCATGGCTGCCCCTGAAGGCAGCCTGTATTTTGAGGCTGGCTCACCTCTTTTTTTGTGAAAGGAAGATGTCATTTCTTGAGAATAAAATGTAGAACCTATTGGTTCCTCAGCTGGGCTTTGGCGTTATTTACCTGCCTTCCCTTCCAGCTCCCAGACGCTCTCACAAGCAAACACAGGCAGCTCATAGATTACAGCCAAGAAAGTGGATCGGATGATAGACTTCAGAGTGTGCCAGCGGAGAAGTCAAGCCAAGGTCACAGCCTCACCAGGTGGGGGCTGCGCATCCTCGGACTGGCCTCACCTGCTGTGGGCTGGGCTCAGCCCCGTCCGTCCTGCAGCCGGTGTGTGAAGACTGCCCAGGTCTCCACCATGGTGTCCTCGGCGCGTGGACAGTGATTTTTTGAGAGCTCTGTGTGCTGGCTTTTTTTCTTTTTTTCTTTCTTTTTTTTTTTTTTTAATTAAAAATTATCTCTCTGGAATCCATTTCCCCTTTTTAAATAAAAAGAAAAGGTTGATGTTTGGGAGATAGAAGCTTAGGACAATCTGTGGTATCCTTGGTTACCAGGGATGAGAATGAGGGAAAACAGGTCTGAAGAGCGGTCATTTGAGACACAGAGCCCCTAATTAGGATTGTTCCTCTCCCTTTTTATTGTCTACCTACCTGCGTGTGCGTGTGTGTGCGTGTGTGTGCGTGCGTGTGTGTGTGTGTGTCTTACTGGGGATTGAACCTAGGGCCTCCCTCTTGCAAGGATCACACTCTACCACTGAGCAATGTCCTTTTTATTTCCTTTTAAGACAGATTCGCTAAGTTGCCCAGGGTGTCCTCGAACCTGTAACTGTCCTGCCTCAGCCTTGTGTGTGGGGTTCTTATACCCCATGTGTTTTCATATAGAGTTGGAAACTACTAACTTGGCAACCTGTAAGAGATGGCAGGAGTTTTCTGTTCTGAATATGCTCTGGCTACTAATTCTGGAGTCCCTAGTCGTCTTTTCTGTCTTCTCTCCATAATTACTGATTGAAATACTGGTAGAGGGCATACAGCTCAGTGGTAGAGCACTTGTGTGTTAAATCCCCAGCACTGAAAAAAAAAATACTGTAGGGGAGGAGGAAGTAAAGTTAAACAGAAAAATTATTTTACAAATATTATTATAATCACTTTATAAAAATTGTGGAACAGAACAGAAGGAAAAGATTGGAGTCCTTGGGGTGGGCTCACAGGCACAGGCTGGGCGGCAGGGTACAGGGGAGGCGGCAGGGCCATGGGCCGTGGGTGGAGTGCGGGAGTCTGGGCTGATGGACAGCGAATGTCCAGACCCACCGCCTGAGAAGATTTGGAAAAAGGAGGAGAGTGAGGCAGAGGTCCGGCGGCTGCAGTGCCTGGCCAAGGCCGAGCAGGACAAGCAGCTGCTCCCGCCACCCTCGGAGCGTGGCCACCGCAGGCCCAGCTCCTGTGTCCGCGCCCAGGCCTTCCTCTGAGTTCCCTTCCAAGATGCAGTCGCCTGTCGCCAGCCTCTGCGGAGAAGGCACGGACTGCGAAGTTTTGATACTGGGATTCAAATTGGCTGTTGGCGATGCGATAAAGATGTGTCGGCTTGGGTTAAAAACTGCAGAACTATAGGCAGGGAAGATTTGATTGGCTTCTGTGTGGAAAGGCTCCTCCACCGGGAGCTCAGGAGCTCCCTGAAGACCGTGGGGTCCCTTAACCGAACTACTTCAGTGGAGACTGATTTGCACCCCTTCTGAGAAATCCTAGTTCCCCGCAGTAGAAAAAAAAAGCGTGCTGGTGGACTCATTTTCATGTTTAGGCACAGGTCCAGATGTATTGTCTGCTATTTATCTGTTATAGTAAACACCTGCTCTAGAAATGTTTCAACTAGCATGTAAGCTGACATAGGGTGGTTTTTAACTCAGCTAGGCCGCCCTAGAAATGTTCACAGGAAATTGGATGGAGCACATTGTTGTTACCGTGACAGTCTTTCTCAACGTCGTTGCTTTGTATGATAGCGGTCTCCTACCCTTCTGAGTTAAGGAAGTCCTTGGGTCCTGAGTTCTGTTACATTCCTAGTTGCTGGGAGAGCCTGACCCGTGACAGGCAGGTAAAGCAGGCGCTGTTGGGTTCTCACAGGGCCTGGGGACTGCCGGTGGCACTGGCCTCTCACCGCCTTGCTGTAGAGGACAGAGGGGTCCATTTTCCTCTTGCCTGCTGGCCTTCAGGTCCTTGCTGTGGTAGGAAGATTCCAGGTGTAGCTTGTGGGCAGGCCCATCCCTACCTTCCCGGGCCAGACCTGTCGGAGGCATTCATCGTTGGCGAGGGGCCTTGGTATTCGCAGGAGGCCGGAGGAGCGCTGTCAGAGGTTGGGTCTGTTGTTGCTTGTTCTCTGTATGACAGCATACAATGCTGCCACTTCAAACAGCATAGGACTCAGTTAAAACCAAGTTGAAAACATGAGTCAAGCAGAAGTAACTAGTGAGTGAGTGAATCAGATCATGAATCTCATTGAAAGTTAACATTTCTGAGCCAGAGTGGGTCATCTCAGACTTAACCTGGTAATAAAAATGTGACAGATTTCAGTAAGTCCCCGGCTTATGAACGAGGGAACATTTGTAAATCAGATTTGTTTGTAATTCTGATAAAGTGAGTCTTATATGCCTTTAATGCAGATATACAGTGTAAAGCATAAAAATGCCAAACATGAGAATACTATCAGTAAACTATTTTTCCTTTTATTTACCTTGAATGATGGTATAGTACAGTCAGTATTTTCACTTTTGTTTCCCTGGTTATTGCTTTGTGCTTCCTGAAGCCCCCTCGACATCACCACTGCTTTCCTTTTGCTTCCGGACGTCCTGGGTTCTGACTGAGCACCGTCCCACTGTATAGTGAGACACAGCAGCACAGCTCTGACAGCGTCCAGCAGACTCGTGAGCTACTTCTGAGATGTGGTCGTACCTGCGAATGTTTGCAATACGAGGTCTGCTTGTATCTGTCTGGAAGTTTTCAACTCAAATGTTCGTAAGTTGGGGACTTACTGTGCTTATAATCTTTGGCCTCATTGAAACTTTCATGCCTATAGAGATTCTTACTGTCTTTTGACTTACCTTCTCTCATACGCCTAAATCAGAACATGGAATTGGAAAAAAGTTGTTTTTTTAATTTTTTCTTTTTTGTGGCTTGCAAGTTCATGGCAAGTTAAAAAAGAAATGCTGAATACAGTATTTAAGACTCCAAATGACTTACAACATGTTAGAATAGTTAAGGTGTTTAGAACTTTTGAAACTCATGCAAAAATATCATTGATCTGTTCCCGCTGAATTAGTTTCTCATTTTCCCCCTTAAGAGGTGCAGGTCGCTTATCAGATTTAGTTCATGGTGGCATGTAATGTAGCTCTCTCTCTATTCTGATCTTCTTCATCAGGATGGATTTATGATTCATTCCACACTGTTTTTTTCTGTATTATACTACTATCCTGTAGAAAGTTTTAAGCAACAAAAGCCAGCTTGTTATAAGATCGTAATGCAGTAGTGTACATAGTAGAAATGACAAGCCAGCCACCTTCTTTGGGAAACTACTTTGATTCCCAGTGCATTTTCTCAAGTTGAATCTGTTCAACCTATGATTATTTTGAACTTTGGGAGTTTAAGCGATGAGGCAATGGCACAAGGGACTTTTATTTATTTACTTACTTATTTTTGAGACAGGGTCTCGCTGTGGAGTCAGGCTCACTTTGGACCCACTCATGGAGCTTAGGCTGCCTTCAAACTCACAGGGATCCTCCTGCCTCGGCTTCCCAAGTGCTGAGATGACAGACATGTGCCACCACAGCTGGCTGGGACTATTTATAATTTTGAAGTACATTTAAATTGTGAGCATTTAAAAAAGCTCAAATATGATAATTTGTGTAGGAAAAAATGATTGCTACCTACTTGCTAGGTCTTCCTGTTCCCCCACATGTGTCTGATTTACATGATTGGATGGGTATATAGAAGTTTTCATATGTTATCTGTCTTAAGTTCACACACTGAATTAATTTTAAAAGTATAGATACTTATGAGCAGGTAATAGTATGTTCTGGTGGTTTGAAATCAAAGGACATCAAGGGACACAGAGTGAGATCTCTCTCTTCTCCTTTGTGACTGCTCCATTCCACAGAGGCAGCAGCTGTTACAATTCCCCTCGTGCCCACCAGAGACTTTCTCTGATGCCCAAGCAAAAACGTGCGTGGCTTTGCCCTTCTTTTGCACAAATGCCAAACTGCTGCTCTGTACCTTGCTTTTCTTTCAGATGTGGCCTATGCTTGAGCCGTGTCAGGACACAGGGAACTTCCTCTCTCTTTCTTGCAGCTCCTGTTACTCACTGTATGTTTGCACTGTGACTTCCTTCCCCACCCTGCTTTTCACTCCCGCCGCCTGTGCTGGGGATTGAACCCAGGCCCTCGCACATGCCACCTGTCCATTCTGCCCAGGCTGCAGCCACAGCTCTCCAGCCCACTGTCAGTGGGAGTCCAGCTCACTCCAGATCTCGTAAAACAACGGCGCAGTGCACAGCATGCACGGATACCGACAGAGGACACTCCTCAGAGAGTGGCCGACCTCATGCACTGACCACTGCCAGCTGCATCCGCTCTGTTCAGAGCCTGCAGCTCTTCAGGGATTTAGCTCAGTGGTACCGCTGCCTGCTTCCCAAGCGCAAGGTCCTGAGTTCGATCCTCAGTACCGAAAAACAAAACGACAGAGCCTGCAGCTCAAAGGAGTGAGCTCTCTAAGACATACTACTATGAAGAATAATAAACACATGGAATTTAAAAGCCAGCCTAGAAGGCTTTTAGTCCCAGCCCTGCTCTTTAGCTGCATGGCCACGGGTAGGTTACTCACTTCTCTGGGACTTGGTTTCTTCCTCCCTAAATGTATCTCCATCTCTAAATTCTTACCGAGTGAGGCCTAAATATAGCCGATTACTATACTGCTTGCAAACAAAAGCCAGAGTGTTGTTTTTTTAAGACAAACCAAAAATTCACCCAAACTTCCATTATTTCTCCGAGCTACAGAATGTTGTTTCCCTGGAGAGATATCTGGTCTTAAACATCGTCTGCATTTTGCTTGCCTAGATAAAATACTCGGTAACTTTTCTGCCTTGCAGCAAGCACCACACAACAGCATAGCTGAGCCCACTGCTGTGCAGCCCGCCTCTAATTAAAGGCTCATCCTATCCAACAGGGCCCGGAGAAGCCTGGCTGAGGGCTGATTCACATTCTGGCTTTATTAGGCAGCTGAGCGCAGGCGTCCGCATCCGTCTTGGTTACGGTAGCCTGGAAAGGACTCCAGGTCCGCTAGGCCTCCTTCGTCCCAGGCGTCAGACTGCCCAGGGGAGGCACTTTGCCCGCTGTGGGCTGGACGGTTGGATCCCTGTCATCTGTGCCTCTGATTGGAAGCTTCTGTTTTTATAGAGATCCGAATCTCCTCATTATCCCCAGCCCTTCTCTCCCCACACTTTCTCCTCTGAGGCAGCCGCAGCTACAGGAATGTGTGGGACGGACGCCTCTGCACTGCCTGTTTGCGTTTCAGTCTTGCCTTCCTCTAGCTGCACTCCACCCCACATCGAAGGGTGCCTCCGGGGTGTTTATCTGACGCCCACGCTGGGCTCTGGTGAAACTGATCAGCTGTGTTTGAAATTGAGAGGCGACTCTGACTTGCTCTGTGGTCCTAATCTAAAAGCACCTCAGAAGACCACGGGAACCTCAGTCGCCCTGTCCCTTGTCCAGCGGCACGGTCTCCTCGGCGTGCAGGGCCTGAGCCGTGCACGGTGCTGCCCTGGGTAGAGGGGCCGAGGCCCGTTCTGAACATTTTAGCTTCACTCAGAGGAAAACCTCGCACCTGCTTTGGCTGTTTTGCAAATGGAGTAGAGCCAGGAGGAATGGGCAGCTCCTCAGAAGAAGAGGGCCTGCGGTGGTGAAAATAACGAGCTGTGGCGTTGAGGAAAAGCCCACCGGTCTAGACAGGTCGGGTGCGGACCGGGAGCTCAGCAAATGCTCGGTGCCGTAACCGGAGCACCCCGAGCCGCGTCCTCACAGCCGCACTCAGCTCGCTTACGCTCCAGTTTGCCTGCTTGCTGCCCGATTCTGGCCCAGATCAGTTTCCAGACCCGCTCTCCCCACTGTCCTCTGCCCCCAGTCCTGTGAGGACTTTGATCTGGTCTGCCTTTTCTGTCTTATGGCGGCCTTGCAGCAAATTCGGCTCAGTAATGGTTACTGAATGTCCCCTTTGAAAAAACTAGACGCTGCTCTAGGTGTTTGGTGTGGCATCAAACAAACAAAAGCTGCTTTGGCCATGTCCCGGGAGTGCGAAGGTTAAAGGCGGCTCAGCAAAGCTTCCTCAGAAGCAGTGGCTGCCTGCTACACCATGTTCAGGCAGGACGGGTAGCAGATTCTGCCAGCTGCTCCGGGCCCACCCCAGACCCAAAGCCTGCATTTCCAATCACGGGATCCCCAGAGCCCAAACCTTTCAGGCTGCTGCTTTATCTCCCCTCAGGAGGCGGGGACCAGCTCCTCCACCGGCTGTAGCTTCGGGGTCACCTCTGCGGTGGGACTGGGCCCTCAGGCTGAGGACGAGACCCCACAGCACTGTGCACTGCCACCCTGTACAGTAGGGGCCCCGAGACCGAGGAGGACTCTGACTTCATCCTCGGGAGCCACAGCGGAAGTGGCGGCCCTGCGTGTTCACAGCCGGCCTCACTTGGTGGCAGCAGGGCTGGAGCCTGGGCCTGTGGGGATTCATGCTGACCCTCTCTTGTGTTCAGTCTCAGCTCCTCACTGGGCCTCTCCCGGGGCACTCGCTCTCTGGCCCTGCGTTCAGGGAAGTAAGCTGTGGTGGCTGCATTCACACAAGGATCTGGCTTCCTCCAGGCCCGCAGGGAGCCAGGCACTTACCAAAGCGTTTCTCCCACAGGCCGTCCTGGCCCTGTGAGAAAGCCTCTGTGCAGCTCTGAATCTGCAGGATGCTGGTGGTGTCACCAAATAGAACCATCCCTTCCATGAAGGGAGGCCACACTTTGGCACCTTTGCAGTCACCAGCGCTTTCAGAATTCCCCGTTTTCTTGATGAAATATCTGCTGACTGTTAGCTGCTGGTGACGGAGGCTCAGACCTCATCCCCGGCCGGGGAGAGGATGGATGCCGTGCTGCCCACTGTACCTGCACTTCCTCCTTCAGTTACCTGAGTCCTCACTGTGGCAGGAGAGAGAAGCTAAACGGTTGGTGGTGCACACCTGTCATCCCAGCACTCTGGAGGCTGAGGCAGGAGGATTGCGAGTTTGAGACCTTGTCTCAAAAAATGTGTGTGTGTGTGTGTGTGTATACACACCTTGGTTCATGAGCACACACGGCTGAGGATGCAGGTTAGTGGTACAGTGCCCCTGGGTTCAATCCTTGGTACCATTAAAAAAAATGGATTGGTTATGATGGGAAATGAAGACAGGAGGAAGCTGATAAATCAAAAGTAGGGGATCCCAGGGCCTGGACAAGGTTCCTGCAGGGTCAGTGAAGTGTGTGTGTGTGTGTGTGTGTGTGTGTGTGTGTGTGTGTGTAGCTACACTGCTTAAGGCTATATAGATGTTAAAATAAGAATATATTAATAAATTCATAGGAAGTCTTCACTTTGAGTAATATATTCATATTATACCCCTTAATTTATTTCTTTCCCCCTTGGTTTTCAGCTGCAACAGCAAAAACAAATTAATCATTCTTATAAATGCTTTTTTTGTTATTAAAGTATATTTTTTTAATAATTTTTTTTTAAATCTCTGGTTTTTACCCTTTTCCTGCAACCGTCCCGCCTATATCTGCCCTTCTTGGGCCTCCAGCACCCAAACCACCACCGAAACGACTTTTGCACGTTCAGTCAGCCCTCTCCTCACCAGGCAAAGCCCGGCCCGTCGCCCACAGGAGCCAGATGCGTGCGCTCCCAGCATGCCTTGCAGCTGGAGCTGTCTGCATCGCTGGGGTCCGTTTATTAGACCCACACTGGGAACTGGAAGCTGGCGAGGAGAGACTCCAGGACCAGCGCAGTCGGTTTCTAGGCCGGTTTCCAGAGGTGTTCATGGTTGTGGGCCTCGTGGTGTTGCCAGGATCCAGGGTAAGAGCTGTGCGAGTTTAGGCGTGCGCCAGATGCTGGGGCTGCGCTTGCCACAGACTGGTTCCGTGTAGGATTTGGGGCGTAATTCCAGGCCATGTAGCTGCCAGGCCTCTTCCACTCCCTTAAATGCATCCTTTTAGTCTTCTCAATATCTTCCTTGTCTAATTGACGTCTACAAAATCCATTTCTGTGACTGGCATAGCCTGGTCCAGTTTTGCCTCGATTCTGTGACTTTGACTCTCTTCCTCCAAAATATCTTCTTTTGGTCTAAGTTAGCAGCACTTAGCCACCGTTGCTTGTGTGGGCGGCAAATACGGTGATGAAAAAAAAAAAGTACGAGCTTTGAGTCTCTTACTCCGTGACCTCCAGCCTCTTCCCCAGCCTCTGTGGGCCTCAGTCTCCCCGAGGAGATGGAAGGCTGCCCTGCTGTGGAATGTGGGTGAGCCCTCGACGCTCAGCGCTGAGGAAGGGGGGCAGCCTCTTACCTCTTGCCCTGGGGAGCCCGCAGTTCCCATCTCCCACCAGGGATTCTCTGTAAGTCTGGGACCACCGGGAGCTTCTCTGGTCATCAGAGAGGCTGAGGCGGTGTGGGAGGAGCCTGGAGGGATCGCTCTAACCCTAAGGACAGGCAAATGTACCCTCGCACCCTTACCTCTGCTGAGGACCCGTATCTGTTTTCCAGTCCCGGGGTCGAACCTGGGCCCTCCTACATGCGAGGGAAGCATGGGCGGTGCCCCCAAGCCTTGAAGGGTCCGTCCTGCAAGATGGAGCCACGTATGACACAGCCCGAAGTCAGCTGTTAGGGAGCAAAAGCGTAGGCCTCCCTCCTCCTCCTCCTCCTCACAATCTTTCGGAGGCTCCCTAGCAGCACCTGGTCTTTGCTCTTTTCCCGCCCAATCCCACCCAGACATCACTGTGCGCGCTTGCCTCTGTGTGTGTGTGTCTATGGTATTCGGAACTGAAGAACCCAGGGCCTTGGTCATGGCTTCACTGAGCTACATCCCCAGCTCCTGGGGCGCTTTCTGAAGTATACTTGAGGTCCTGTCAGCCAGTCATTGCCTCATGCCTGTAATCCCAGCTACCCAGGAGGCTGAGGCAGGAGGATCACAAGTTTGAGGCCAGCCTCCTAGACAACTTAGTCCTATCTCAAAATAAAATACAAAAAGAGCTCAGAATGTAGCTCAGTGTTCCCTGGGTTCAATTCCCATTGCCACCAAAAGAAAAAAAAATTAAATTTCATGCCTTGGTCATCTATAGCTCTGCTTGAGTCACAGGCAAATGATTTAAATTTCCTAAGCCCTAGATCCTTCAGCTGTAAATGTAGGTAATGTAACCTGTTGGCATAGGAGCTCACTGTTAGCTATTGCTGCTATTACTATTATTATTTTATTACTTTGGAGTTAGGGTCTCACTATGTGGTTCAGGCTGGCCTTGAACTCACTACATAGCCCAGGCTGGTCTCAAATTCTCAGCAATCCTCCTGCCTCATCCTCCTGAGTGCTGGATCTCACGTGTGCACCACCACGCCCAGGGAGCTATTGCTGTTATTACCATTTCTGCTATCGCAGGGAACATAGATCGCTGGTGTTAAAAAACAACCTTGCAGTCTATGGCGTGTGCACTGGCTGGGAGGGAAATACCTTTGCTAGTCCCATGAGCATCAGTTCTTCTGTCTGCTCATCTGTCTTCTGATTGCCTTTCTATGGACTGAGGGTGATAAAATCTTTCCTCCTGTTTTTTTTTTTTTTTTTTTTTGAGGTTGCAGCAAGATAATGTAAGCATATCAGAATCAGTTTAGGCTAATACCCTTAAACCATTTCCCCTATGTAAAAGAAGCAGAAGGGAAGCTCTGCTATTATTTAACACTGTGTCATGCCCGGGTTTTAGCTCAGTGGTTCCATCGCCTGCCTCGCAAGCACAAGGACCCAAGTTCAATTCCCGGTACCAAAAAACAAAACAAATACTGTGTCATAGTGGTTATCTCATAGCCTAAGCAACTGTCTGCCTTTCAAAAAAAGACTTCCCAAGCCTGATGTGATGGCATAAAATTGTAACCCTAGCTTTTGGGGAGGCTGAGGCAGGAGGATCCCAAGTGCAAGGCCATCTGGGCAACTTAATGAGATCCTGAGAAAAAATAAAAAGGGCTGGGAATGTAGCTTAGAGGTAGAGCACTTCTAGCATGCATGAAGCCCTGAGTTCTATCTCCAGTACCGCTAAAAAAGAGAGAGAGACTTCCCAGTTCCAATAATCCAACACCTACGTGTATGTCATTGGCCAGAACATAGTCACATGGTCGGCCACACTTAGTAGCAAAGGAGGCTGGGATTACAAATTGCCACCTGGAATGAAACAGGTTTCAGTGAGGAGTGGAAGCTTCTGCCAGCAGACACAGGAATGAGCTTGGAAGTGGATCCTTCAGTCCTGCAAAACCTTAAGATGGCTGAGTCCCAGCCACCAGCTTGATTTAAACCTCCTAAGGTCTCCTCAGCCAGTGCTGACAAGTGAAAACCGTTCTGTATTCCTGACCCTCAGAAGTCAGGTGGGAGCTAGGTGTGCTCACCAATAAACGTAACATTTGGGAGGCTGAGGCAGGAGAATCGCAAATTCTAGGCCAGGCTGGACTATGTAGCAAGTTCAAGGTCAGTCTGAACTACATAGCGAGATGTTGTCTCAAAATGAACAAAAAGAAAAAAAAAAAGGGGGGGGCTGGGGGTGTTAGCTCAGTGGCACCACACCTGTCTGGCAAGCACAAGGTCCTGATTTCAATCCCTGGTACCAGAAAAAAAAAAAAGTAAAAAAATAAATGTTGTTTTAAGCTGCTGAGTTCTGGGGCAGTTTTATGCTGCAATGGATGACTACCACAGTAGGCAATAAACACCAGCAACAGTAGTAGTAGCTGTGATTTCATCAACAGAAATGATAGCTATTTTCATATCATATTAAAGCTGTGCTTATTTCAAAATACTATTTCTACTTATCATTACCCCAGAGCTACGATATTACTAGATCTACCAGGAAAAAGTCCATGATTACAATCTTCCATCTACTTATGTTTTTGTGATGCGGCCCTCGGGCACCTCTTGAGTGTAGTAATTACAGAGCCACCAAATGATGGTGTGTTTCCCATTTGGAGAATCCAAATGTCTTTGTTGTTTTCCGGGAATTTCTATCAAAAATTGTGTGTGAGTTGTTTCCGCTGCTGGCTCAAGTCTTTGCAAACCACACAGTTCTACCAGAAAGTAGAAGAGGGGAACGAATACGATATTGGAGTTAGCAATGATTTCTTGGGTCTGACACGCAGACCACAAGCACAAACAGAATATAAAATAGATAAGTAGGACTACATCAAAATTAAAAGCTTTTAAACTGGGCTTGGTGGCGCAGGCCTGTAATCCCAGCACTTGGGAGGCTGAGGCAGGAGGATCGCTGCGAGTTCAAGATCAGCCTGGGCTACACAGTGAGTTCCAGAGCAGTCTGGACTACATAGTGAGACCCTGTCTCAAAAAACCAAACAAACAAAAATTTAAAGCTTTTAGCCTGACGTGGTGACACACGCCTGTGGTCCTAGCTGTCTGGGAGGCTGAAGCAGGAGGACTGCAAGTTCAAGGTCAGCCTGGGCAATTTAACAAGACTCCGCCTCAAAATAACAATGTAGTTGTGGTAGACTGACCCTGGGTTTCCACAACCCCCCCCCGCCGTACTGCAAAAACCAAATTAAGCAAAATGACAGAAAATAAGTATTGGCAAGGATATAGAGAAATTGGGACCCTTCTGCATTGTAGTTGGGAACGTAAGACAGTATAGGCGTAAATCCTCTTCTGGAATCTGGCAAAAAGAATTTAACGCAAGGACAGATATCTGTGTCCACATGTTTGTGTAGAATACACAGTGCGTGTGAGGTCCTGGGTTCCATCTTCAGCACCAAGAAAAGATTTTTAATGATGGACAATTCATTATCAGAAGTTAGCAGATTCTAGACGGCAGGAGAAAGAATCAGTGAACTTTATAGATTAATAGAAATCAATCTGAAGAATATAAAGGAAATACATTAAGAAAAATAAACAGGGCCGGGGATTTAGCTCAGTGGTTCCACCGCCTGCCTTGCAAGTGCAAGGACCTGAGTTCGATCCCCGGTACCAAAAAAAAAAAAAAAAAAGAAAAATAAATGGTGCTCAAAGACCTGTAGGACACCATCGACGTAAGCACCTGTGTCTAATGGGATTACCCAAAGGAGAGGAGAGGAGAGGACAGAAGAGAGCAGACTTTTAAAAAAGGACCAACAGCTTCCCAGTGTCTGAAAACAGCAATCTATACATCCAGGGGTGTGGAAAACCTCAAGAAGGGTTAATACAAAGATCTACATCCAAACGCATCATAGTCTTAGCTGTTGGAAGACAATGAAAAATACTATTTTTGTGATTGTATTTTTGTCAGCTTTCGTGTTGCTGGACACAACATCTGGCACAACTTACAGGACAGGTTTGATTTAGCTCGCGGTTTGAGGAGGTTCAGTCCATGGTCGGTTGGGTCCAAGACAGGAAGTCGTGGCGGAGGGGTGTGGAGGACCAAATCTCCTTAGTTCATGGTAGGGGGAAGCAGGGTGGGGAAGTAGCACCAGGGAGACAGAGTGAGTCTATACACAGGTGGCACTTCGGTTCATGAATTTAATTCTTTCCACAATTCTGGTTGCAAAGTGAACCGCACAAGAACTGAATCAAACTCCCCCATAAGGTCAACAGTGAACCTAACCATTGCATTCGACTTGGTTCTCGTCCAGTCTGGTTTGTGTCCAGAATCATGGAAAGAAGTGAGGGACTGCACCACCAGGACCCACCCAGAGCGTGTGTGCTATCATCTGCCAGGTGTCTCCTCACCCGATGAAGCTGACGGTCAGGATTAGCGTCGCAGTGGCACCGGGAAGTGGAACCCAGCCCCTGCCTGTGACGGGCCGACAGTACCACTGAGCCACGTGCCAGCCCCGAAGAGAGGGTTTTCTACAGAAGACATTGCCCTATTGGACATCTGGTGAAATAGAAACTGTTTTCATTACCTAAACAGTCCTTAGGGATGAAGCGGCATTTAAATTGTGTGATTTACTTTCAAATGACTCATGAAACAATATGCATTGTATAGAGAGGTAACTGTGTAGTTAAAATGATGATAAATCTATGTACAATATATATAGATAAATTGTGTGTGTTTGTGTGTGTGTGTATGTGTGTGTGTGTAGAGAGAGAGACAGAGCGAGAGACAGAGCGACAGAGAAAATAATAAAGTAAATGTAACAAGGGGAAAAAATGAGAAGCAAGACCTGTCCCGAAAGGTACAAGATCCCAATGATGAATGTAACTGTACCGTACACCTAAAACGTACCAATAAACTCAATGAGGAAAAAAAAAAAGTAAATATAAAATGTTAGCAATTAGGGGAATCTAGGTTAAGGGTATATGGAAGTTCTTTGTTATTCTTGGGACTGTTCTCTAAATTTGGACTGATTCCAAAATTAAAAAGTTAAAACAAATCGTTAAATTGCATGTTTTATTTTAGCTTCATTTTTATGGTTTTTACAAAATATTTAAAATAGCGCGTGAAAGGAAAAGATGAACACTAAAATTGTGTATTACATCCTTTCAATTCTATTATTGGATATTATAGGACGCAAAAGCCCAAGTGCTATGTGGGGTGGGGGGGGTGAGAAAATGGCTAAGAACTTACGTATGATATCGGCTGAATTGGAAGAGGAGAGAATCCAGCCTGAGAGGCACCTGAGTGAGATTGGTCTTCTGACAGTTCTCTCTCCGTGTAGCCTGCTCCCCGACTTTTTTTTCCTGAAGAAATTTATTTTGTGAGCCCTTCCTTGAGGTACAAAGGCTGTGAAGATTTTGGAAATAGCAAAGAGATTCCTGGCCAAACACAACATTGGAAAGAAAGCCTTCCTTCCCTGCACAGATGGGCCTCCTGCTAAGCCTGACGGGGGCTCTGCTACTCTAAAGAGAGGGCAAACTTTGCACGTTAGCATCGTCATTGTTTTTTTCTTGTTGTTTTTACAGACATGCACTGACAACAAAGAGTCCTCCTGAAGAAGAACTTTTGTCAACAGCCATAAATGTCATCAAGGAGCCAGGTCTTGGAGTTAAACACATTTGAAAGTATTTTCATCAAGATATAAGAGCAAAATGCGTACTGCTTTTCTACCACACAGAACTTGGCTGGCTCTCTGGATGCGAGGCCTCGAGGCGCTTTTTCAAACTATGGGCAGACATTTTACTTTAACTGAAATAAAAAAGAACAAAAGAAAGGAAAATCCGCTCAGGACATTATCAGAGAGAGAGTTTTATTGATGTGCTGCTATCTGGCAGGTACTTTCTGCCGTGTAAATGAGTCTAACCTTTCAGTTCAATGTTATGAAGTCAACATTTTAGATGCTACTGAGAAAAATGAAACATCCTTGGCTCGGCAGTCGACGGAGGAGCTGCAGGATATGCTTTTTATGGAGTTATACAAAACTTCCCTGTCATTTTCTTTGAAGAAGAAACTCTGTAAATTTCTGAAACACTTCAGAGATCCTCCCAAAGTTATTTCCATCAGGATGGCTGCTAAGTGGAACCGCAGACCCATGGAAGGAGTCATCTTGGAGCCACTGCAAGAAAGTGAGAGTAAAACAAAACAGGACAGAAATCGAGTCGCTGAGGCTCGGCTCGTGAATATGAGTTAGGTGCTGGTACTTTAAAGAAGGCTCACTTGGAAGGGCCAAAGATCCTTCCCCGGGAGGGCCTCGTGCTTTACCCTTGGAGGATGAAGGTGGAGGAATCGCAGCCCCAAAGACCTCTGGCTCTGTTGCCTGTGGAGAGGGCTTTCCAAAAGCGAACTGACCCGGAGATAGGGCTGGCTCTTCCTAGACTGTGGAACCAACCAGCCCCCGCATGTGAGACTCAATTATCAGGTGGTTGAGGGATTGAAAGAGGTTGCATCTGCCTAAGGGCCTCCTTGCTCGGGCTTGGGCCGGCCGAGCAGACTGGGTCCCACCTGATCCGAACCCGGTCTCTCCTGTTTGTCTGGCAAAGGTCTATTTGCGTTTCACAGGTAGTTGGTTGAGAGCGCTCGCACTGAAACTTGTATGAATGCAGCTGGCAGTGATTACTTTTGATATGTTGCTGGGCACGGGAGGATCTCAGGATGTAGATACACGGTGCCAAATACCCCAAGGGGCCATCTGACAGCTGAAGCAGAAGCTTGGGAGAAATGGATGCCCTCAGGTGAGCAAGGTCAGAGTTATGTGAAAAGATTTCAGGGACCTCCCGAACCTTATTTCTTGCAAAATTAACAACAGCCTACAGATAGACGAGAGAGTCACTCGGCACGGCCGAGGCTTTATTAGGACAACTTGCTTTCGAAAACGCAAACGCAGACTGTCAGGAAAGCCTGGTGATCATCACAAGGACAGCCGTGGCCCTAAGAGACAGCCCAGTGTCCCCTAAGCCAAAAGAAACACGTAAGCCTGGTCTGTGTCCCCACTGCACAAAAGGACATCACGGGCAAAAGAGTGTCTCTCTAAGTTTGCTGCACAGGGGACCTCACTTGGATCAAACCAGGGAAACGGGATGCGGGCCGGCCTTGGGCCCCAGTGAACGAAGGGGACCGGGCCGTGCAGATCGATGCCCCTCAGTCAACACAGAGCGGAGCCACCGCCCCCAGTTTGATCACTCAGCCCCCCGCCCCCGGAGGGCAGCAGCAGATGAAAGGGTTTGCACACGTTATCAGTGTCAATCCCGGGCAAGGTAGGGTACGAGTCCCTGTGGGGGTTTTGGGCCCCTCAGCCAGAGTCAACGTTGGGACTCATTTTGGGGCGGTCCAGCTTAAATATGAAAGGGATTCCAGTTGTTCCTGGCGTGGCAGATTCAGATCATACCGGTGAGATTCCAGGAGTGGCGGAAACCCCTGTGCCTCGGACGTTTCATCCTGGGGACAAAATTGCTCGGTTTCTCCTACTCCCTTTTTGTCCTATAGGATTCGCTCCTGTAGAAAGGAGGGGAGGGTTCAGCAGTACAGATTAAAAAAAAAAAAAAAGTGGTTGCCTGGGCTGCTCCAACGCAACGCAATGATCGGCCTCTTACGGACATTTTGAAGCAAGGAAAGGAATTCACGGGAAGGAAAGGAATTCACGGGAATGGTCAGTTCAGGAGCAGCTGTGACCACTGCTCTCCTAAACGGCAGTGGCCTGAGGCCCGGGCTCTTGAATTTCCCGACTCTCCATTAGAGGGAGTCGGTCGGGTTTCAACCAAGGGAAGTTTTTCAGAGCTCTAAAATCCGCAGATGCGTGGGCCCTGGTGGACAGCACGGCACAGTAGAACCGCTGGTGAGTTCTGTCCCCGTTAATTTGTGGGGCGGAGACAATTCTTCAACAATGGGGTGCCGGTTCGATCATCCCCTCGAATCTGTTCAAGCAAACAAATTCTGCACCGTACGGGATGCACACCAGGGAAAGGCTTGGGAAAAAGTGAAGACGGTATTACACAGCCTATTGCTGTTTGTCATAAAAACGATAGAAAAGCTCTGGGTGCGCATGTTAGGAGGGGCCACTGCTCAGATGAAACCAGTTCCTCTGCAGTGGATTTCTGATGAGCCTGTCTGGATGGAGCAGAGGCCCCTGAAAAATCCAGATCGGAGGCTCTTCACTCTTTAGCACAAGAACAATTAAAACTGGGACGTACTGAGACTTCTTTTTCCCCTTAGAGTTCTCCTGTGTTTGTAATACAGAAAAACTCTAGTAAATAGAAGGTGCTTACTGGTCTTTGGGAAGTAAATAAAAAGACCCACCCAATGGGGGCCTTACAACCTGGCCTCCCACCGCCGACCATGATACCCAAGGAATGCGATACAATCATTATAGAGCTCCAGGATTGTTCTCATGCTGTTCCCTTACATTCTACAGAGGGTGAACGCCTTGCTGTTACTGTTCCCACTGTTCACCAGGTTGCTCCTGCTCAGAGGCCCGTGGAAGGTTCTCCCTCCAGGGACGTTGAATTCACCCACCGTGTGTCAGTGCTGTGTTGAAAAAGTTCTACCTCCCGTTCGTGAACGACTTTCTCCTGCTTAGGTCATTCGCTGTAGGGATGGTACTTTTTCAGCAGCTCCGCCACAGGCATTGGAGAGTGCTTTTAAGGCAACCACAGCTTTCTGAGTATGGTTTGCCTGTTGTACCAGATAAGATCCAAACTGTTCCTGCTTGTAAATACTTGGGATATTCCTTAGCTAAACCTGTATATTATATAAGATATTCCTTGGTAAAACCTCAGAGTGTCCAAATTAGAAGCGATGCTCTTAAAACGGTAAATGATTCTCAGAAACTCCTGGGGGACATAAATTGGGTCCATCCAACTCTCGCATCCCCTCCTACTCGCTAACATAATTTCTTTAGCACTCTGCAGGGAGACTCTGCCTTAGGGGGTCCACGACGAGCATCTTCTGAAGCCGAGACAGCTTCAATTCAGAGACCAACGCCTTAAAGATGCTTTTGTCTCCTGCACTGATCTTTCTTTACCTGTATCACTGCTTACCTTTGCTATTCTCTATTTGACCACAGATATTATTACACAGAAAGATTCTCCTGTTGAATGGGTTCACCTTTGACATAATCCTTCAAAATCTCTATCTCTGTATTTAGGTCTAATATGCTCTCTTCTCTCTCTCTCTTTTTTTTTTTTTTTTTTGAGACAGGGTCTGACTATGTAGTTGAGACTGACCTGGAACTCACGATGTAGCCCAGGCTGGTCTCGAACTCACAGCGATCCTCCTGCCTCAGCCTCCCGAGTGCTGCAATTACAGGCGTGCGCCACCACGCCGAGCTAATCCTATTTTTTATAACTGTATCAGAGCAAATTCTAACCTGCCTGGCCCCTCAGTTCATGGAAATGCTCAAGCAGATAAACTGACAAGGGTGTTATGGATTGATTCTCCAGGACAAGAGCTTGCACAGTTCCATAATCATGTTTCTAGTTTACACCAACTGTGGGCTCTTCCCATGAACCAAGCACATAAAATAGTTAGAAATTGTCCTGTGCGTAAACCTTTACATACAGTAGAGGGCCCACCAGGTGTAAACGCCTGGAGACTTCCCTCAGATGATCTTTCACAAATAGACACTACTCGCTTCCCATCTTGTGCGCATGCTTATTCAAGCTTTATCTGGGCCACTCCATGTTCTGGTA